GGTGCATTACACCATGAAACCCTACTCTGTGCCTTATACCAAGGAGTACGTGGAGGCGGAATTCAAAAAGCTGGGGTATAGAAGTTTCTCACCTCAACCCCTCTCGGAAAAAATCTCGAAAATGGCAAACATTTCAACCATGTTCTTTGAATCCTGCAAGCTCCTCCTGTCTAACAAAGAGCTGATCCAATACCTGGAAGAAAGCAAATTTGATGCTGTCTTTATGGACCCTTTCTTTCCATGTGGACAGATAGTGGCCGAGCACCTCTCCCTGCCTTCGGTGTACCTCGTACGGGGACTGCCCTGCGGCCTAGACTTCCACGCCACCCTCTGCCCAAATCCTCCCTCTTACGTGCCCAGGTTCTTCACCCGCTACACGGACCGCATGGCCTTCCTCCAGCGTGTGGGCAACCTCCTAGCTAGCCTGAGCAGTTCCCTGGTTTGCAGCCTTCTTTATTCTCCCTACGATCAGTTGATCAAAGAGTTCCTCCAGCGAGACGCGACAGTGCTGGAGCTCTTCAGCCACGCGTCTGTTTGGCTGATGAAATATGACTTTGTGTTTGAGTACCCCAGGCCCCTCATGCCCAACATGGTCTTGATCGGAGGCATAAGCTGCACTCGGGGAAAAGCATTATCAGAGGTTAGTTACCTTCTTTTTTTTTCCCCTGGCTTAGCTATGACTGCACTGTTGGCTGTCACCATAACATGGAGCTCCTTGGATGGCCTCAAGTTGCACCAGGGGAGGTTTAGATTGGATATTAGGAAAGATTTCTTCACGGAAAGGGTTACCCAGCATTGGAATGGGCTGCCCAGGGAAGTGGTTGAGGCACCATCCCTGGAGGTGTTCAAAAGAAGGGTTGACGTGCTCCTCAGGAATATGGTTTAGTGGTTTGTTTTTGTCTTATTTATTTTTTTTTTTGTCAGAGTTAGGTTGATGGTTGGACTAGACGATTTTGAAGGTCCCTTCCAACCTAGACAATTCTATGATTCCGTGAATAATAACAGGAGAAAGAGCTTCCAACCTAGATGATTCCATGATTCTGTGAATAATAACAGGAGAAAGAGTGAGGTGGAAGCGCTTAGGAAAGCACTTCACACCCCTGCATCCCTTGCGTGATGAGGTGTGAGTTCTTTTGTGTGAGATCTCCAGATCCCCAATTCCTGGCCTTTTCCAGGTTTTGTCACAGTATTTTCTGACTGCCTATTTCCAGTGACTTCGTTTCATATATGTATTTACAGTACTTGGTAAATGCAGCAGGCCAAATCATCCTCGTCCTCTGCCCTTGAGCAGCAGACAGGAGCAGAGGACAGAGCTCGTGAGCAGAGGGCTCAGTTTCTGCAGCAATTTCAGAAGACAGACCTGAACAATACAGAATCATAGAATCTTCTAGGTTGGAAGGGACCTTAAAGATCACCTAGTCCAACCATCAACCTAACTCTGACCCAAAAAAACCCCCAAAAACCACACAACACAATTGCTGCTCCAATGAAGCATCAAGAGATCTCCTTCTTTTGCACAAAATACGTGGCCCCAGATCTCGACTGCCGTGTCTTGCTTGAACTATACCAAACTTCCCAAATATGGGGTAGCTGCCACTTTCCACCAAGAAATCCTCCCAACTCTTAGTGCTTTCTCTTATTTTTCAGTGAGTGCCTCCTGCAGGTACTTCATAAACGCCTTCGGTGTACCTCGTACGGGGACTGCCCTGCGGCCTAGACTTCCACGCCACCCTCTGCCCAAATCCTCCCTCTTACGTGCCCAGGTTCTTCACCCGCTACACGGACCGCATGGCCTTCCTCCAGCGTGTGGGCAACCTCCTAGCTAGCCTGAGCAGTTCCCTGGTTTGCAGCCTTCTTTATTCTCCCTACGATCAGTTGATCAAAGAGTTCCTCCAGCGAGACGCGACAGTGCTGGAGCTCTTCAGCCACGCGTCTGTTTGGCTGATGAAATATGACTTTGTGTTTGAGTACCCCAGGCCCCTCATGCCCAACATGGTCTTGATCGGAGGCATAAGCTGCACTCGGGGAAAAGCATTATCAGAGGTTAGTTATCTTTTTTTTTTCCCTGGCTTAGCTATGACTGCACTGTTGGCTGTCACCATAAGATGGAGCTCCTTGGATGGCCTCAAGTTGCACCAGGGGAGGTTTAGATTGGATATTAGGAAAGATTTCTTCACGGAAAGGGTTACCCAGCATTGGAATGGGCTGCCCAGGGAAGTGGTTGAGGCACCATCCCTGGAGGTGTTCAAAAGAAGGGTTGACGTGCTCCTCAGGAATATGGTTTAGTGGTTTGTTTTTGTCTTATTTATTTTTTTTTTTGTCAGAGTTAGGTTGATGGTTGGACTAGACGATTTTGAAGGTCCCTTCCAACCTAGATGATTCCATGATTCTGTGAATAATAACAGGAGAAAGAGTGAGGTGGAAGCGCTTAGGAAAGCACTTCACACCCCTGCATCCCTTGCACGATGAGGTGTGAGTTCTTTTGTGTGAGATCTCCAGATCCCCAATTCCTGGCCTTTTCCAGGTTTTGTCACAGTATTTTCTGACTGCCTATTTCCAGTGACTTCGTTTCATATATGTATTTACAGTACTTGGTAAATGCAGCAGGCCAAATCATCCTCGTCCTCTGCCCTTGAGCAGCAGACAGGAGCAGAGGACAGAGCTCGTGAGCAGAGGGCTCAGTTTCTGCAGCAATTTCAGAAGACAGACCTGAACAATACAGAATCATAGAATCTTCTAGGTTGGAAGGGACCTTAAAGATCACCTAGTCCAACCATCAACCTAACTCTGACCCAAAAAAACCCCCAAAAACCACACAACACAATTGCTGCTCCAATGAAGCATCAAGAGATCTCCTTCTTTTGCACAAAATACGTGGCCCCAGATCTCGACTGCCGTGTCTTGCTTGAACTATACCAAACTTCCCAAATATGGGGTAGCTGCCACTTTCCACCAAGAAATCCTCCCAACTCTTAGTGCTTTCTCTTATTTTTCAGTGAGTGCCTCCTGCAGGTACTTCATAAACGTTGTGTGCAGGACCCACCGATACGCTCAGATGTTGGTTAAAAAGGCTTTACTACAAGCAACCTGCCTATTCCCAAAGCAGGGCTGCAAAAAGTTTCCTGATGGTAGTGGTGCTTCTGAGAAAAAAAGTCAGACCTTGGCACACAAAAACATTTCAAGAACGAACTGGTGTGACTGGTCCCACAGAGGGCTAAATACACCCTGAAATAGCTCCATCTGTTCCACTGCATCAGGAGCTGGAGAAATTCAGCCAGCCACTGGCCAAAGAATGTTGTACCAAAGCACATTGGGGGTTGGACTAGATGATCCCTAGAGGTCCCTTCCAACCAAGCTCTGAAAATAGAGTTTACAGAATCACAGAATCACAGAATCTTCTAGGTTGGAAGGGACCTTAAAGATCATCTTGTCCAACCGTCAACCTCACTGACAAAAATAGACACCCACACAACAAACAAGGAGCATCATCACTAAACCAGACCTCCCAGCACTACATCAACCCGGCTTTTGAACACCTCCAGGGATGGGGCCTCAACCACCTCCCTGGGCAGCCCATTCCAATGCCTGAGAACCCTTTCAGTGAAAAAATTTTTCCTATTGTCCTGTCGCCTGTGACTTGAAAGAAGAGACCGACCCCCACCTCTCTACACCCTCCTTTCAGGGAGTTGGAGAGAGCAATAAGGTCTCCCCTCAGCCTCCTCTTCTCCAGGCTGAGTAACCCCAGCTCCCTCAGCCTCTCCTCATAAGACTTATTCTCCAGACCCCTCACCAGCTTTGTCGCCCTTCTCTGGACCCACTCCAGCACCTCAATGTCTTTTTTTATTTTTTTTTTTTACATTTCATCTTGTTTGCCCTGAGGAGAGCCTCAGGTTCAGGGTGCAGCTATCAGCAAACCCTCAATAGCTCCTTCAGTTTGGGGTCCAGTCTCACGCAAAGAGCCACAAAAATATATAATGGAGCATAAACTAAGAGGGTCAGCTTCAGTTATCCCCTCAGACCATAGAGATCATAGAATGGTTTGGGTTGGGAGAGACCTTAAAGATCATCTTGTTCCAACCCCTTTGCCGTGGACAAGGCCACCTCCCACTGGACTGGATTACTAAACGGTGGGCAGGGACACCTCCCACTAGACCACATCACTCAACATTTCAATTGCCAGACTTATGGAAATATTTAGTTAATTTTATTCCACTCATTTAACTCTGATGCCTGCAGCAATTCCCTCCAGTTTTGTCTTTCCTTCCCCGGCTTTAGCAAATGTTTTTCAATGGCATAGGATATTTGCTTCAGCCTTTGGCTGGTTTTATGCTTCATTGGGATCCTTCTCTTCCTAGATTCCAGCGATAGATCTCCTAGTCCTTCTTTTATTTACATCAAACAAACAAAACAGATTATAAAAACCCCAACCTGGCAGTGGTTCCATATTCTCACACTCAAAGCAGACCAAATAAATCCAGATATTAGAAGGCAGAGCCATCCGCCACCGGAAGACTTTTCAAAAATGTTAATTCTCTCTTGCAGCTGCATGGTCTGAATAGAGGAGCATCAACACAAAATCCAGAGTATTTGACTTGCAATCAGTGTGACAATAAACCACAACGTACTCACCTAGGGGTTGGTTGCCAGGGAAAGTATGATGATGAATTGATCTCCTTAATTGGTACGGCATCTTTTCTATTGCACGGAAACGGATGTCTTTGAGCAGGCAGGCTTTGCTACGTGATGGCTTTAAATTAACTTTTTCCTCCTGGAAAAATTAACTTTTTCCTCCTCCCATACTGGATCTCAGGCACTTACACCCCTCTGTAACTGTGTTCATCCATCTGTGCCCGTTTTTTTTTTTTCCCTGGGACTCATTTTCCTGTCATTTTCTTGTGTTGACTCTTCACCTTTCCAGGCAGCTTTTTGGGAACGTGACAGAAATTACAGCACCTGACGTGGGAAGGGCTTTTGACTCAGGATGTCCTTTGTGTTGGCAGGAATTTGAAGCTATTGTGAATGCCTCTGGAGAACACGGCATCGTTGTCTTCTCGCTGGGCTCCATGGTCTCTGAGATTCCGATGAAGAAAGCCACAGAAATTGCAGATGCCTTGGGATCGGTTCCTCAAACGGTATGGTTTCCCTCTCCTCCTTCCAGTACAGAAATTTAACACTGTTTTCAAACACAGAATCACAGAATCTTCTAGGTTGGAAGGGACCTTAAAGATCATCTTGTCCAACCGTCAACCTCACTGACAAAAATAGTCACCCACACAACAAACAAGGAGCAAACACAGTCTACAATGACCTGTGGCTTTAAGTGTGCTTGGTCCTCCCTTCTTTCTCCTGCTTCCTGATGCCAGAAGAAACCATCCCCCCAGCAGCTCTGCATGACAAGATAGGTTTTGTGCACCAAAGGGATGCTTTCAGCTCTGCTTTTCAACCCCACTGAGGAGCAGCGAGAGGCTGAAGAATGTCAGAGAACTGACATATTGTTTTTACTTCTCTTGAAAGGTTTTATGGCGCTACACGGGAGAGGCGCCCCCCAACCTGCCCAAGAACGTAAAGCTCGTCAAATGGCTGCCACAGAATGATCTTCTAGGTAGGTCTGAGATACTTTGAGGGATACCAGTGTGTTTGTTTGACTCCTATACTGCTGTCATATGGCTGATTTAGCATCATCTATGCTGACCACCTGTGTCACTGTGGGGCTCAGGACCTCCTTTGCAACCTGTTTGAACCAGAGCTCATCTTCTAGGAACTTATCTCACAGAATCACAGAATCTTCTAGGTTGGAAGGGACCTTAAAGATCATCTTGTCCAACCGTCAACCTAACTGACAAAAATAGACACCCACACAACAAACAAAAAGCAACATCATCACTAAACCAGACCTCCCAGCACTACATCAACCCGGCTTTTGAACCCCTCCAGGGATGGTGCCTCAACCACCTCCCTGGGCAGCCCATTCCAATGGCTGAGAACCCTTTCAGTGAAAAAATTTTTCCTAATATCCAGCCTGAACCTCCCCTGGGGCAACTTGAGGCCATTTCCTCTCGTCCTGTCGCCTGTGACTTGAGAGAAGAGACCGACCCCCACCTCTCTACACCCTCAACTCATACAACTTCAAAGTTGCCAAATTATGAAACAACACTGTTTGGAAAAGTGTTCCAACACTTGGCTACCCTTAGTGTCAAAAATGGAGATTTTTATCTCTGACTAGCCAGTCTCAACACCCAGCCATGGATTTTTGTCATACCTTTCTCTACTGGACTGAAAAGAAAATATAAGGTTCCCAAGTGGGCATTTCCAGACAGGTCGTCAGGCTTTTCAAGCAGTAAAATTCTATGTGCTATTGCCAGGAGTGCATTTTTTTGGTTAGACAACAGGGCTGGGCTGTGGGAGATCTGCAAAACCAGCAAATGTAAAACGTGGGGAAAAAGTAAGCAATGGCAACATCTTCTTTAACCTCACTTGGCTCTGATTTCATCCGAATATCTGAGAAGCTTTGGAGGATTATCCAAGGCTTTCCAGAGATGACCCAAACCAAGACAGAGCTCTACAACCCAAGGTTCATTCAATCCCCTGCAACATCCTGTTCTCTGAAGCCCTAAGTTTGTCCCTAAGCAATGATGCACATGACGACCCAAAGTTCTTGATTTATAGAATCATAAAATCATCGAATCATAGAATTGCCCAGGCCGGAAGGGACCTCCAAAGGCCATCTAGTCTGACCTCCCCACAGTCAGCAGGGACACCCCCAACTAGACCAGGTTGCCCAGGGCCTCATCGAGCCTCTCCTTGAATATCTCCAGGGATGGGGCCTCAACAACTTCCCTGGGCAACCTCTTCCAGTGCTCCACCACCCTCACAGTAGAGAACTTTCTCATAACTTTCTCCTTATACCTACCAGTATCATTTTTATGCAAGTTGGATGTGTTTTTTATGCAAGGAGATGTGTTCCTGTGTCTTAATAAATCAATTAGCTAAGCAAGCCTTTCTTTCCTCCACAGCTCACCCTAAGGCTCGTGCCTTTATTACCCACGGAGGCTCCCATGGTGTCTACGAGGGCATATGCAACGCGGTGCCAATGGTGCTAATGCCATTATTTGGAGACCAGATGGACAATGCCAAGAGAATAGAGTCACGGGGAGCTGGACTGGTGCTGAACATACTGGAAATGACTTCGAAGGACATCTCCACTGCCCTGAAGGCAGTTATTAACGATAAAAGGTCAGTAACAGAAACGCATGCCAGCTTCCAGCCGAGCAGAATGTTGTCTCTTCTTCCATACCTTCTTGATATACAAAGCTACATCACGGGGGAGGTGATGCTGGCCCTGGGCTGATCTTATAGAATCATAGAGTTGCCCAGGCCGGAAGGGACCTCCAAAGGCCATCTAGTCCGACCCCCCCGCAGTCAGCAGGGACACCCCCAACTAGACCAGGTTGCCCAGGGCCTCATCGAGCCTCTCCTTGAATATCTCCAGGGATGGGGCCTCAACCACCTCCCTGGGCAACCTGTTCCAGTGCTCCACCACCCTCACAGTGAAGAACCCTCTCCTCATCTCCAGTCTAAATCTGTTCCCCTCCAGCTTGAAGCCATTGCCCCTCGTCCTGTCACTGCAGGCCTTTCTAAACAGGTTCTCCCCAGCCTTCCTGTAGGCTCCCTCTTGTCCTGTCCCTGTGACAGCACCATCCTTCTCACTGCCTGGGATTATAATCGTTAGGTGACAAGAACTGGCTGAGCTGAGAGGATGGAGTTAAGGGAGAAGAGGGGGTGTAAGTGCAATGCCAGAAATCAAGGTGACAAAAGGAGTGTCACCTGCTTAAAGCCAAATTTGCCCGGCAGGGATGTAGAGGGCCCTGACACAACGTGGTAGAAAAGCCAAGTGGTGAAGGGAGATGTGGCTAAATCGGCGTCAACATGAGTGAGCAGAAAGCCTGAAAAAGTTGAAAGGCTCAGCTGCCTGGCTTGTGTTCTTCATGTGAGGGTTGCCCAGAGAAGCTGTCTACACAGCAGCAGGAGGAAGACAAGTGGCAGAGCCTTGGTAGAGTCCAGAGGCTGGCTGTACTGCATCAGAAAGCTTTGCCTTCCAGCTGGCAGGAACATAGCTATTATCACTCATTTCTTTTACAGACGTTTTCCCCCAACTAGTGCTCCCTCAGGAGCTGCATGAGCACAGCCAGCTGCTGCCTGGCTCAGCAAGGCTGAATTTCACTGAATTTTTTAGAGTTGGAAGGGACCATAGAGATCATCTAGTCCAACTCCCCTGCTAAAGCAGGTTGGACAACTCCAGCACAGAGCAGAAGGAATATGCACGGGTATGCTCAGGTGGTACAGAGAACCCTGCTAGACATCATCTTATTTATTGTGGTCAGCGTGCCCAGGGTGTTTCAAGGCATCAAAACAATGGGGAGCTTGAAGACATAGACTCTTCTTCCCCTCTCCTCTTCTCTGTTGTCATCAGTGCCTCCAAGTCCTTAGCATCCTCTTTCCCATCTTCTTCCTGAGAACTGTGACCTTATTGCCATTGTTTCCTAACCATCATTCTTACAGCAATACTTCTTCTACTAAGGCATCTTTTTTCTATAGCTGGACAGCTTTTCTATACCCAGTCCCACATTTCAGCCAGATGCCTTCATCCTTCACCACAGAGATTTTCCTGACAGCTCAAACCAAGCTTTTCTGCTCCTTTTACTAATACCTTTTTCTCCTTTCTTTGTCATAGAGAACAGTACTTTTCTGGGTCCGTAATTTTGCCGTTATCCTTCTCATGGGATGGTGGTGGTGGGAAACACCACCAGAGGAGCTCCTGGTGGGCCATCAGACAACTGACACTGCATCCTTTTTTTTTTTTTCTTCTGGGGACTCAGTCCCAGCAGCAGAAATCATTGAAAACACCCAACATCTTCTCTTGGCAGGTACAAAGAGAACGTCCAGCGCCTCTCGGACCTTCACCTCGACAGACCCATCCACCCCCTGGACCTGGCCGTGCACTGGGTGGAGTTTGTCATGAGACACAAAGGGGCCCCCCACCTCCGACCTGCTGCTCACGACCTCAACTGGATCCAGTACCACTCCCTGGATGTCATCGCCTTCCTCCTTGCCGTGGTGCTCCTCTCCCTCTTCATCTCCCTGAAGTGCTGCCTCTTCTGCTGCCGCAGGTGCTGCTGTAAGAAGGGAAGGACAAGGAAGTCAACCAAAGCAAAGTCCCACTAAGCAGATGAAACCAGTGGTGGGAGCTGTGGCCTCTGGGCTGGACTGGAAGGGTCAGAGAACATCCCAGATTTCACTAAAATAATTGCTGAGTTTTAGTCAAGAAATAATAGCATTCCTTTAAACTGGAGCCACGGGAGGGGTTGTTTCACCGATACCATTTTTGCCTTTTAATTAAGAATCAGTTGTTAAAAATAATCTGTGTAGGAGTGCTTCAGTCACTTGGGAAGAGGTTTGTGTGAAGTCCAAGGCTCATGGCTTCCATGTCTTGGTGTACAGGGGACTCTCAGTCCTCTTTTTTTTAACTTTTCTATGCAATGGAGATGTACAGAGATTTCAGAAGACCTTGCTTCAAGGGCTTGGGGAGAACCATTGGTTCTAGGGTAAGACCACAGGGTTTATCAAGCACTTCAAAATCTTTGTATAGCTGTTGTTATAGAAGAGGCAAATGGAGGACATGCAGAAGAGGACAATACGATCTTTGTATAGCTGTTGTTATAGAAGAGGCAAATGTTATACACTGACAATACATGTCACATTGGCCAAGCTAGATGCACACCTTAAATGGGTTTTGTGGGTGTTTATAATACCCTGGACTCATTTAAGGTTTCGGCAGGGAAGTGGTTGTGAAGCCACCGGTGTTTCACCTAAATTCCCCATCAGGCAGAGTGGAGCTTACCTGTCAGGTGATGAGGCCTTCGTGAACAATATTTATGAAACCCAACTGATTCACCCTTTGTAAGTGATGTTCAAGTAAAGACCCAAACTGCAGTCCTACAAATAAATCACTAATGTTAATTATCATGGCTCTTGTGTTTTCCAACTGAGAGATACGGGAGTGGGTGCTCACCACTCATGGAGAGAGAGCTGGAGAAGGGAAAGATTCAACGTTCTCAAAAGCCAGTTCTCAGCATCAGTATCTCACTACTTGGTGGCTTGGTTACGTCCTGAGGCTGCCACAGTCCCCACTACTAGGAACAGAAAAAGCCAGAAAAGAGCTTTATCAGAAGTTAATATTCACCTGGGGAGGAATAACCCCCTGCACCAGGACAGGTTGGGGGTGACCTGCTGGAGAGCAGCTCTGAGGAGAAAGACCTGGGAGTCCTGGTGGACAACAGGATGCCCACGAGCCAGCAATGGGCCCTGGTGGCCAAGAAGGGGCATCCTGGGGGGCATCAGGAAGAGTGGGACCAGCAGGTGGAGGGAGGTCATCCTGCCCCTCTGCTCTGCCCTGGGGAGGCCCCATCTGGAGCACTGGGTCCAGTTCTGGGCTCCCCAGTTCCAGAAGGACAGGGAACTGCTGGAGAGGGTCCAGCAGAGGGCTACAAAGATGATGAGGGGCCTGGGGCATCTCTCTGATGAGGAGAGGCTGAGGGACCTGGATCTTTTCAGTCTGGAGAAGAGAAGGCTGAGGGGAGATTTAATCAGTGCCCAGTGACAGGACAAGAGGAAATGGGCACAAACTTGACTAGAAGAAGTTCCACCTCAACATGAGGAGGAACTTCTTTGCTGTGAGGGTGGCAGAGCCCTGGAAGAGGCTGCCCAGGGAGGTGGTGGAGTCTCCTTCTCTGGAGACATTCCAAACCCCACCTGGACACGTTCCTGTGGGACCTGCTCTGGGTGGCCCTGCTTTGGCAGGGGGTTGGACTAGATGATCTCCAGAGGTCCCTTCCAACCCCATGGGATTCTGTGATTCAGGGCTCAAAACAGGCTGGGCCACCCTGGTACATGATGGCAACCCTCCTTGGCACAGGTGGCCAGCTGAGTACCTGGTGCTGTTATTTTCTACTGCTGTTTTTAAAAACAGGTACTTCAGGCAAAGCTCAGTTCCAGAAGAGAGTCCCTCTCCTCCTCAGCCTGTCCCCACTGCAGGGCCTGATCCTCATGGGCACCCAAACCACCTACAAACTGCCCAGGACCCACATCAGTTGTTGCTTTTCATCCTCTGCCTTTCCCTGCCCCCAGTAAACAGAATGAAACCCTTCTGTCCCCACGGGGTCTGAGAGCTGACCTGCTTTTTTAAAAAATGCAGGTTTTGCATTTCCACACGTTCCTGGAAGTCACAGTTCTGGCTGTCCCAGGTGACAGCAGGGCATCTGTGCAAAGCCACACAGTGCCTCTGGACCTCACAGCGCCCATCACACCCCCAACCACCGTGTTTCCAGTCACCTCTGGCCGTGGGGCCTGGCTTCCAGCAGCTGCCTGATGAGAAACCCACCTAAAATGTCCTTACGGAGAAGTTCTGCTGCAAACAGGCTCTGGATTGATCCAGTGACTTCCCCTGTGTGGAGAAGAGATAAACCCCTTGATTTCAGATCAGATGAACAGAATTGAAAAAAAATAACAATAATCCCAATTGCAACTGGGTGGGGTTTTTTTTTTTGTTGTGGTTTTTTGTTTGGGTTTTTTTTTTTCAACGTCTCGTGTAGGTGGAGAAAAGGAGCGAAGAGAAAGAGGGGAGGATGCAAAATGCCCATCCCATGGCTTTCATTTCAGAGAGATCTCTAGCAAAGCTGGGGCAAGACAGCAGCAGAAACCAGGGTATCCTCCTCCTCCTCTCCTTTTCCCTTCACCCTCCTCAGCCTCGACTAGTTTGTCCTGTTCTTTGTCTCCCCTAAAGCTCCTCGGAGAAAGCAGAGAGGACTCTTAGAGAGGGTGCAGGGCCAGGACTGGCCCTCAGTAACTTACGGCCTCAAGTTACACCAGGGGAGGTTCAGGCTGGATATTAGGAAAAATTTTTTCACCAAAAGGGTTCTCAGGCATTGGAATGGGCTGCCCAGGGAGGGGGTTGAGGCACCATCCCTGGAGGTGTTCAAAAGCCGGGTTGATGTAGTGCTGGGAGGTATGGTTTAGTGATGATGCTTCTTGTTTGTTGTGTGGGTGTCTATTTTTGTCAGTTAGGTTGCCGGTTGGACAAGATGATCTTTAAGGTCCCTCCAACCTAGAAGATTCTGTGATTCTGTGACTGCATGATGTGTCCTGTTCCCATTTCAACCGTGCCCAGCAGAGGACACTACGACATCACTAACAGAAGGGAAGAAGGACAAGAACCATCCCTTCCCCTTCAAACCAGCCCAAGAAAGCTGGTTTGAAGCTGACAGCAACATGTATTATCCCTCTGTGCCCCAGGAACATGGACCCCACTGAAGGAAGACAATTTTTGGAGTGAATTAGGGGTCTAAGCATATGGGACAAGCAGCTTTGGGGCAGAGGAGGGAGCTGGAGGGGCTGCAGCATCCCCACAACAGCCTCCCCAACCCTTCTTGAGGGAAGAATTATGCTTGAGGGAACCATCCCCTGGGGCACAGATGGGGCTTCCCTTACTGGGGGGAGAAGACATCATAGCCCACCGTGCCTTTCTAAGCAACAGAGCTGAGCCTGGGGCACTCCCCAAAGTGGGGAAACCAAGGCAGGGCCAGCCATCCCTTTCACTGAATTTCACTGAATTTTTGGAGTTGGAAGGGAACATAGAGATCATCTAGTCCAAGTCCTTCTCTCCCTGAGCTCCACGGGCTCCACTGGGCATCGTGCAGGGCTCCGGGCACTGCAGCTGGAGCTTTGCCAGCAAAACCTCCAAATCTCTGGTTTTAAACCCCCACTAAAAAGGCAGATGCCAAAAAAATCCCTTCGCTGCCCGTGGAGAACGGTGGCACGAAGATCCCCTGCCTCCAACAGCCTCTTGAGGATGGAGGAGAGAGGATGGAGAGCTGGTGCTTCCCGCTCTCACATGGGGACTGTTTTAGTGTTTATTGCATTTTTTTGCCTCAATTTTAACATCCGGGCCTGCAACAGTAAAGCTGAGTAAAAAAAAACCACCAAAAAACCCCAAAAAACCCCAAAAAAGCAGTGCAAGCCAGTGCTGCTGCTGGTTCTTCTGATGACCCTTGGACCAAAAACATGGGTGAGAACCTCTTTGGCTTCAGGATGAGGGTGTCCCAGGGGGACATCCTCTGGTGGGAGGATGCACTCAGCATCTCCTGCTGCTTCCCACCAGCCAGACCACGGGAAATTACAGGAATTGCTGACATTCTTCTGCAAACCACAGGGTTTCTGCAGCCTCACCCCAGCCCTCCGGTCCCCAGGGGCAACGGAGAGGGTCTTCCACTGCCATGGGAGCTCTTGGGTATCTTCACCGCCCCAGCACGTGGTCCAAGAAGACCCGTGGCCCATGGGGACACGGTCTGGAGCTTTGCCAGCAAAACCTCCAAATCTCTGGTTTTAAACCCCCACTAAAAAGGCAGATGCCAAAAAAATCCCTTCGCTGCCCATGGAGAATGGTGGCATGAAGGTCCCCCACCTCCAACAGCCTCTTGGCATCACTGATGGAGGAGAGAGGATGGAGAGCTGGTGCTTCCCGCTCTCACATGGGGACTGTTTTAGTGTTTATTGCATTTTTTTGCCTCAATTTTAACATCCGGGCCTGCAACAGTAAAGCTGGGTAAAAAAAAACCACCAAAAACCCCAAAAAAGCAGTGCAAGCCAGTGCTGCTGCTGGTTCTTCTGATGACCCTTGGACCAAAAACATGGGTGAGAACCTCTTTGGCTTCAGGATGAGGGTGTCCCAGGGGGACATCCTCTGGTGGGAGGATGCACTCAGCATCTCCTGCTGCTTCCCACCAGCCAGACCACGGGAAATTACAGGAATTGCTGACATTCTTCTGCAAACCACAGGGTTTCTGCAGCCTCACCCCAGCCCTCCAGGCCCCAGGGGCAACGGAGAGGGTCTTCCACTGCCATGGGAGCTCTTGGGCATCTTCAGTCCAAGAAGACCCGTGGCCCACGGGGACACAGCGCTCAGAGGGGAACTTCTCCCCTCACAAGACACACTGAGAAGTGGATTATGCTCCTTATCCAAGGGCAGAGCAAGAAACAGGAGAAAAAACTCCCTCCCCCATGTAGGGCTTCCAGGGCCAGAGACCTGCAGGTGGGTCCCAGCACCGCTTCGCCCCACGTGCCCTCAACTCAGACCTGCAATTACTTGATTTTTCTTTTTTTTTAAAAAGATCTGTCTTTTGGGTGTATTTTGTCAAAAGAAATACTTACTGCTGCTGGCAAAGCGTCCATGGCATCAGTCTGGGACGTGTCATGGGAGCTCCTGAAAGCCCTTTGAGCACTGAAAGCTTGAGATGAGCAAGCGCGATTTGAGTGCCTGCTTCCCTGAGGAGCTGACCTGCCAGGAGCAGGAAAATAACATTAAA